AGGCAAGATATGTTCTTTCCTTTTATTAAGGGGAAATTAGACCAAACTTGGATTTGCTGACCTCTGAGAATAGGACAGGGTGTAAAGAGTTGGAAGAAAGACTAGTCCAAACGTGAATGTGTAAAGGCTGCGCAGCAGACAAAACATGGTTTGTAAGAACTGAATATAACTGGCAGAGGAAGGGTTTTAATTCTGAGAGAAGTGAGAAGTCATTGAGAACTCTGGAGACTGGGGTTGGAGCTGTTGGTGATGTATGTGACATAATCAAATTTGCTTATGGGAAATAAGCACGTTTTTTCCTACAGCAGAAAATAATTTGGAGTGGGAACAAGAATGAATGTGGAAGCCAAAACTAGGAGTAAATGCAGAGATTGAGTTGAAAAGTACTGATTGGGTCAGGGAGACAGAAGTTGAGATCACGAGGCAGGGTGGCTGTGGACTGGTTTTTTGAGGGGGTAAGGAAGAGGGACACATTAATGGTGACTGCTAGGTGTCTGTCTTGTGCAGCTAGATGAATACAGAGCTCTGGCAGATGATCGGGTTTGGGAAAAAGACTGATTTTAGGCATTTTGAAGTTTTAAAAACTTTTTTCAATATAATTTCAAATATGCAAGAATTGTACAGAGAACTCTGGAATATCCTTTACCCAGATTTTAGCTGTTAACATTTTGTCCCATTTGTCTTATTCTCTTTCCTTCCCTCTCACCCAAACGCATGTATACATTTTGCACATATGTATTTACCTACATATAAATGTATACAAATTCAGATGATTTTTTTAACTATTTGAGAATACATTAGGGACATCGTGCTCCCTTACCTCTAAATAATTCTCCTAAATGAAAGATAATTTTCTTATATAATTGCAGTTAAAAATCAGAGCATCTAACTATGATTTGTTATCTAATCAATAGCCTGTGTTCAGTTTTGCCAGTTGTTCTGCTCTCTATTATTGCTGTTTTATTTCCCATTCCAGGATCAGTCCAAGATTATGCATTAAATTCAGTTTTCTCTCTCTAGACTCTTTTAACCTGGAATAATTTCTCAGCCTATCTTTGTCTTTCATGACATTAACACTTTTTTTTTTTGGTACCTGGAATTGAACTCAGGGCCCTTGCACTTTTGTGCCAGGTGGAAGCATCACTGAGTTAAATCCCTGGCCCAACACTTTTGAAGATAAAACACCCTGAGCTACATGCTAAGTTGAGCATCAGATACCTTCCCTGGGCTTTATCTTAGCTTTTGCCAAATCTACTTAGTCCTGTGTTCCTTCAGGGTCACCTTCTTCTGTGTGTCCCTGTGCAGTGCTTTGGAATATTGGACTCTTATTCAGCAGATGTCTCCACTTGAATGCTGTTGCGATCCTAGCACGGAAGCTGGCAGCGTCCAAATATGAGGAAAATCAAAGTGCACAGAAACGAGTCTCCAGATGAGAACTGATGGAGCCCTAGAAACTGGAGTCCATCTCCCCAGCCCCTGCTACTCCTGCCTTCTAGTATCACCTCATCTTTTTCTTTCTTTCTTTTTTTTTTTCCTCCTGGTACCGGGGATCGAACTCTGGACCTTGTACTTGAGAGGCGGGTGGCAGAACCACTGAGCTAAATCCCCAGCCCCCACCTCATCTTTGACTTTCTTCTTTCTTTGTTACTTTCCTTCTTCCCTCTTTCTTTTGCTTCTTCTTGCTCCCCACTGGTTGACTCACTACTGTACCTTTCTCATGACTCCTGTTCCACCACCACCACCACAACCATCTCCTGTCTTACCAGCACATGTGCCTGTTGCCCCTCTGTGCACAGAACCACTTTTATCTTAGGGGGGAGAAAGTTAGTTATTGTATAGTTTCTTAACTTGGGTGTGTCTAATATTTCTTGATGATTAGATTCAAGTTATACAAGACTACCACAGAAAAAATGTGTTCTCAGTAAATCATATCGAGGCATATAATGCTTGTTCCATTATTCGTGATTGCTTTGATCACCTAGTTTAAGTGGTGTCTGCCGTTTTAAAATGCCTGTTTTTATTTTTAATTAATAAATAATTTAGTGGGATATATCTCAAAAGTGTCCTGCTCATCCTATTTGTCAAACTTTTACTGCCATTTTAGTGTGCAGTAATCTTCTTGCTTGAATTGATGTTTGCTGTCACATTTATTGGTTGGTGTTCTACTACAAGGGAGAGCTTCTATTTCTGTCTGCATCAGGGTCTTCTCAGGATTTATGTTTTATTCCAGAAATTATAAATGACATTTTTATTCACTTATCAAAATTTATTGAGCGCATACCATGTACCAGGCACTGATTTTGGTGGGGATCCGTATTATAGTAAGATAGACATGTCCTTGCCCTTTGGTCATGTGGAAAGGAATTATTCTTTTTAGTACATCCTTGTGAACAGTATGTTCAAGTTCATTTGTTAGTTTTTTTTTTCTTTTTGCTATTCTGATAGACAAAAACATTAACTTTCTTTGATTACTGGTACTGAGTTTCTTTACATATTAATGGCCATTTTTATGACTTTCAGTTAATTTCAAGTTCAGAGTTTGTGGTATCCTTTCAGTTGCAGTTTTTTGAGGTTTATGAGTTCTATGTTTTAGAAACAATTTTTTAGATTTGAAATATAAGGCAATGTTCTCACAACTTAGTGTGATATTTCTGAAGTGCATTTCCCGACAACCTTCTGCGCCTGCATCGTTTTGAAGAAATCCTTGCCATTTGCTAGCCACTGAATGAAACTGGTAGCTAATGCAGGCATAGAAACTTGCATTGAGCAATACTGTTTACTCCCTCTATTCTGTACTTCAAGTGTTTCAGGTGAATGTTAATTTCAAAACATAAATCTAGTCAGGATTTATAACGTGATTAAGGTAGGTTATGCTTAAGTCCTGGTGCACTAGAAAAACTTGTCTGTTATCCTTTGTAATTCTAGCAGTGACATAGTTAACTCAGCCACTCCATAATTATTAATTTCTTACCATTTGTACAGGAGGTTAGGAAGAGAGTGAAACCTTACCCCACCGCTTTTGCTTATTTATCTTTTGGTATACTGCTTCATTTCTTTAAAAATAATGTGGTGCAATTTCAGATTGTTTTAACAATAAGGCATTTTGAAGGTGTTCTCTTTAGACTTGTTTTTAAAGTGATCTGCATAATTTATTGGTTTGTTTTTTATTTTTTGGTACCGGGGATCAAGCTCAGGCCCTTGCACTTGCAAGGCAGGCAGCAGCACCACTGAGCTAAATCCTCAGCCCTGTTTTATAATATTTAACATGGAATTTTGCATTCTTTGGGGTGTTGAAAAATCTATTTTTATCATATTCTTGAAACATTCTTTGATTTGCTGTGTTTCCTTGCACTGGAGTCTTTAAAACTTCAGGTTTTACATTATAAATTTGTAGCATATCTTAATAAAATGAAAACAGCCCCTGAGCGCTACATCTTCCATCTACCCCTGCCCCCTGTGATCTTGGCACACCATTATTTTTTAGTCTGTTTAACTAGATGGTCTGGAACTAGAACTCCACATGTACTAGCTATGTTCCTTGCAGAAGACACCTTTTCTTGAGTTGTTCAGTGAGGATGAAAGTTGTTAGAATTAAATGATAGCATTAACATTTAAGACAGAGCTTAACATATAGAAAGTTCTTAGTATAAATTTATGTTCCTGTTACTTATCTGTGTATTGTCTTACTAGCCCATTTCACCAAGGTGTTATAAAGATCATGTGTGAAAATATATGTAAAAGTAGTAGTGAGTGAATAGGTATGATGGATTTGTAACACTTAAAATGTGCTTTCATTTTTGCACAGCTAGTGTTTAGATACTAAGTCACCTATATTAATCTTTTAATTGATAAATGGAATAAAGTTCATTTTTATACATTTCATAATAATTATCTTTAACTTATTTTATCTACTAAATAACTCTCCGTACTAAAATTTAAATGAATACTAGCTCTGTATTCTGCAGTTTGCACTGCCAAAGCAACTATATTAAGTTTAAGGCTAGCTTGCTACTAGGTAACTCAGCTATGAAGGAAGGAAGCTGTTTTTAATTATTAAACAAGGATGATATTTTTAGATGTCTCCAAAACCACAATCGATATATTCACACTAATCTTTTTCCTGAGTCCTGTAACTCTTGCTACTTACTGGATATTTCCACTTGGATATTTTTGCTGTCATTGCAAACTCAACATGTCTAAAACAGAGCTTATGATCTTGCTTCCAGAATCACGCTGCTTCTGATTTCCCTTTTTCTATTAATGTTCACCATTTCCCTTGTAAATTGGGCTTGGTCACACTTGCTCTCTATATTGATCTCTTTCTCTGTCTTATTGGCTACTTTTTGTTTGTCCTTAGCAGTCTCACATGTCCTTCACTTCCGGTTTTCACTGCTGCCTTCAAACTTCATTTCTTATCTTTATAAAATAATCTTTCTTCTATGTCTGATTTTTACATTCCTCAGTATTGAATACCAGATTTTAGACAATGGCTCTTCCCCAACTCCTTGTCAATAATTTGCCTTGAGACTGAAGAACAAAACAAGTTAGGCAGTTTCTGTTCTGTGACTTGGTGCTGTAAAAGTTTGGGCAAAGGATTTTATCCTCTCAGATGGTGAGACCTAGCAGTACCCTGAAATACCTGCTGGTGCATTTCTTGGTTGACTGTTTGCATATGTGGCTATTCACTGAGATTCGTTTTTAGGATTCTTACAGTTCATTTGGTACTTCTGACTCTGCATGTGGAAAAACTTCCCAATAGCCATAAAACTCAAAACTTTTTACGTGGTTTAGAATATCCTACAAACAGTATCTTCTTTAGAGAAAGCTTATATCTTTCTTTTTTCATTCTAGAGTATATGCTATGGTCCAAAAATCTTTGCAGTTAAAGAGGTGCTATTTTTGGAGTGAATCTTTAAGTTTTGTGATACAAATAATATTTACTAAATAATTGTGTTTCTTTTATAAAAATCTCATAATAGGATTATTTATTCTCTTTCTAGAAAATGTGCCAGAGGAACTTCGAGAACCATTTTACACTGATCAGTATGACCAGGAGCATATCAAACCTCCCGTGGTTAATCTGCTTCTATCAGCAGAACTGTACTGTCGAGCTGGGAGCCTCATTCTCAAAAGCGATGCTGCCAAACCCCTTTTGGGCCATGATGCTGTCATCCAGGCTTTAGCACAGAAAGGTCTTTATGTCACTGACCAGGAGAGATTGGTAACTGAAAGAGATCTCCACAAGAAACCCATCCAGATGGTGAGTCTGTATACCCATGATTATTTTAAGCTTGAAGTGCCCGCGCTTGAGTGTGAATTGTACTATAAAACAGAATAGAATGTGTTTTGAAATTTAACTGTGATCTCTTGTCTGGAGTTGAAAAATTATCTTTTCTTATAAAGCTTATATGTAAATGAAGGAAGATATTAACAAACTTTTAGAATGTTGGTGCCATCTAACAGCTGAAAGAAACAAATTACATAATTTCCACTGACTTTCACATAATTTTTGTTTAACTTTAAAACATTTTTCATCACAGAGACTAACTAGAACAGGTAGAAAATGCATTTTTTGTTGTTGTTTTACTAGTAAAGATTTGATAAGTGTAAGTATTCATTATATGCTTGAATAGCCTCATGGTAAACTTCAGCGTATCAGATGTTTTAGTTTATTTATTAACCATTGGCTGGTTATAGAAAATATACTTAGAAATGGCTAATCAGGGCTGGGACAAGCAGGTAGTGAATATTTCTTGTGAATTGTCTCTGGAAACATAAATCCAAATGTTTAAGTTTATTTTATGCTGTTTTAGTCTATTGTACTGCTTTAACTTAGTTCTACAAAGTGCTGATATCAAGAACACTGTTAGAAAAATGGCTCTGCATATTTGATTAAATCACATTATCTTATGTGAGAGTAGTAGTCTTGCTTGGGAGGAAAGAGGTGCATATGTAGAAGGTTGTATTATGAAATTTAAGAAGGATGAACAAAAATTAATTTATCAAGTCTATGACTGAATGAGGTCATGACCTAATTTGCTTTCTGCCTGTTTTCCTTCTTTTAAAGTCCTGGAATGGGGAATAATATCTTAATAATATAGTTAATGGCATTTGGTTTATAGATTTACAGTAGAATTACTAAGGATAACAGACTATTAATGTCTTACCATATCTAAGAAATTTCAGCTTTCATTGGTGCCTCTAAATTTGCCTGTAATTTCCTTCTGACTTTCTACGCATGCTTTGTATGCGCATTGTGTATATGAATAGTTTGCCAGCAGCAGGCCAAGCAGAATTCAGCTTAAGTGTCCTATCAGTGAGTCACCTTTGCTCTTCCAGAATCGTTCTTCTCTTCTCTTTGGATGCTCCCACCAGTTATTTCCACTTCCATTGTCTCCATGCCAAGTGGATAGTTCCAAAGTACATTGATGACTTTGTGGATCTGTGCTTGGTAGTTGCTCTTTCAGATACTGATAGATATGTATTAAATGACCTAGTTGTCCTTAAAGTAGGTTATCTATTTTGGATCCTCTTTAATAAGAATGAAACAAATTTAACACCATTTCTACATTTTTTTCTAGTGCAGTATATGTGTGGAAAGATAGAATATGAAGATACTTGGAGAATTAATTTTAAAATAATGGTGTTGCTAGATTGCTAATTGCATTCATTGCTGATAACTTTCAATGTGTTTAAATTAAAGAATATAATTTAAACAATACAGATTTCCCATTTTTCTGGTTTTGAGTTCTGTTTGTGGTTAAGAACTTGACAACTTAATTGGGGGGGGCGGGTACCAGGGATCGAACTAGGGTCCTTGTGCAGGCAGGGCACCTCTGAGCTAAATCCTGGCTTGACAACTTAGTTCTTTTTTTTTTTCTTATTGTAGTATATCATTATACTTGTTCTATTTTATTATTATTAAGGTTTTGGGGTTTTTTTGTGCTGCTGATTTAACAGCCTTGTGCCTAATAAGTATGTAGTAATGAATTATGCCCTGATTTTAATCATTATTATTATTATTCTTGTTGTGTCTTTCTTTTTCTTTCTTTTTTTTTTTTTTTCAGCTTTAATTGAGTTTATTGGTACATTTTAGGGACACAGTACAGTTACATTCATTGTTGGGATCTTGTACCTCTACATGACAAGTCTTTTCTTAACTACTCCTCTTAACCCTTTGCAGTGTCACAGTTACAGACCTGTAACTTAGTTATTGTTTTGCTTCTTTGACTTTTCAGAAAATATCATGAAAAATAGTGTTTTTAATTGCACTGCTTATATAGATCCTCTTGTTCCCCTACTTCTTTTTACCTCTAAATTATCTTAATGATTCTGACATTTTATTTCTTATGCTGCCTTACAGCCTTTTGGGAAAAAAATGTGTGATGGTAGTAAATATATCATCCTGATTTTTTTTTTTTTTTTTTTTTTTTTTTTTTTTTAGGGTATAAAGCTAGCCTTTTTTTTTTTTTTTTTTTTTTTTTTTTTGGTATCAGGGATCGAACTCAGGTCCTTGTGCTTGCAGAGCAAGTGGAGAAACCACTGAGCTAAATCCCTAGCCACCTGATTTTTTTTTAAATGACATTAGTTCTAATTCTTTTTTATTAAAGTTTCAGATAGTATGAAACTTTCCAGTGAAATCATGTAAAGACATTAGCTTTTAGCCTGTAATCCCATCTACATGGGAAGCTGAGGCAGGAAGATCTCTAGTCCCAGGCCAGCCTGGGCATTTTAGTGACATTGTTTCATAATAAAATGAGAAAGGCTGAGGGTGTAGCTCAGTATAGAGTACTTGCCTAGCATGCACAAGGCCTTGGATTCAGCTTCTGCTATCTCAAACAAATGAAAAAAAGACAGTGATTTTTTAGGTGAGTGTACACAAACCATTAACTTTGGTTTCTTCTGGGAAATACACAGTTTTAACAGTTGGAGGTAAGAAATTTAAACTGAAGTGATTGTTGTCTAAAGTGCTTTCTATGTATACTAATTAATTACTGATATGTTTTTAAAGGGAAATGTATATCCTGATATTGGTTAAGCAAGCATAGAAAATCCAAGCAAATATTGAAGTCTCTAAATGGTTGAATTCAAGGATCCCATAAATGGCTAGCTGAAGCTTTGAATTATCTTTTCTGTAGTTCATTGTAGTAATTAGTCTTTAAAAACAAAAGGTATATGAGCAATATGACTTTGCCATATTATATGAGGCGTTTGAACCTGTACAGAGTTTAATAGCCATGAGAGGTTTTGGAATAATCCCCTAGAATACTGAGAAATAACTACAGTTACAATGTTAAAGGCATATGAATATATCTTTGAATTAACATTAAATATATGACTGAGTCAGAGAAAGAATTGTATCCATTGAAATCGCAGATGAACATTGATCAAGCAAAAGTATAATGTAGCCAAATTCATGTCATCTATCAAATTATTTACTGGTATCCAGGGTGACATGAAAGTGGAGAGAGTTGGAGCAAATGGAACTAAATGCTAAAGAAGATAGTATAAGTGCACTGAGGTTTCGACCTTTCTTTCATACCAAAATAAAGTTTCATGGGAATTGTATTAATATTACCAAGTTAGGATGGAGAGTTTGATCAATCATAAAATTTCAAATTATAAAATTTTATAGCCAGAAGAATCCTTAGAAATCAGAAATCTGTGTGTATAATAAGACTTTCTGAGAGTTACCTGAAGACTTTAATACAGTTCTGTGGCCCTTTCATGAGAGCTGCTAGATTAAAGTCTTTAGAGGAGGGGTGGGAAATTTGGTTAATATGTGATTTTTATGAGTGCATGGGAAATACCAGTCTAATTCAGAATAATTTTATGTATGTTGTACCTAGCTAAAGCTTAGAAAGATGAGATGATGTGCCTTGGGTTGTGCTGCTGGTTAGTAGCAGAACTAGAATTAGAACCTGAATGAACTGGAACTGTGACTTTCTAATTTACATTGCTGTAATCAGAAGCTGTTTGCATACATATTTGGACACCTATATACCCAACTATTATCTGAATTGTAGGCGGTGTTTTGGATCAAAGTCTTCATTGCAAATTGACTTTCCAACCATATTTGCATGTATATGAAATAAGATTTGACATTTATAAAATTAATAAAGTATGTGTGTATGTACATAGTATGTGTCATACGAAATAGTAATTTTCATATATGATTTGTAAAATAAGGTTCATTATTTAATCAAATTTTGTTTTGGAACCAGCATTTTTACATAAGCCAGAAGTCTTTTCTTTTAATGAATACCAAAAAGAGATGGAATAATCTGTTTACTTAATGGAATTTGGAGTAGGCTGATGTGTCACTGCATAAATAAGCCATAAAATGTTTTTCATGAATTGTTAGTATTGTTATAATGGGTATTTTTAGATATTCGGAAAATACAAGCTAAAAAAAATCTGGCACATCTGTGTTACTAGCATTATACTGTAATGGAAATGCTAGTGATGCCATAGTTAAAACACAGATTGTGAACCTTTTTTTACCTTTAAAAAAGAGTATTGCTATATGTAAAGAAGTGTACTTTATCATATTTTTATGTTCTGTGCATCTGGGTGTCCACTTAAATGATAATGATCATAAAAATCTAGAGAAGTCTGGGGGAAACCAGATTAAATAAGGGCTGTCTAAATTTCAGTTGAAGCAATAGACATTGGGAACCTAGGGGTGGCTGTGATGGTCTCTGTTACTTCTTGAGAAAGGTCCCACTGGACAGAAGATTAATGGGATTTGAATAGGTAAGAAAGGAAATGAGGTGAGAATGGTAACTGGATTGAAGGAATGTTTTTGACCAAAGTTTGAACTGGGAAAATATGTATTACAATTAAAGGTTGATTACTTGGAAGGATAAATGTGAGTTGAGGTTAAAAAAATAGTTGGAGGTTAAATTGTGCAGAGACTGAGTTGAAACTAAGAAATTTTAATGTTTTTATGAGTTATTAGATCGTGGAATAAATTATCACATTATTCTCTGTATGCGTATGCACATACATTCTGTGTATTCTCACTTTTATCATTGTTGGGGTTTTTTCTCCTGCCTGTATTAAATAAAACTTTGCAAAACACCTTGAATATTTTGTGAATGACTTTATTGTCAGATTAGCGTAAATTATCTTTTTAATTCTTAGGTATTTATGATTTACATGTATCTATTCACTTGTTTGCTTACCAGTTTGGCAGCACTTTTTATGTTGTTTACCATGTGTGCCAGGCAGTGTGCTTGCTTTATACATTCTCTCATA